GTGGACAATACGGTTACAACCCTACGACTTCCGAATTGTATATACTCCAGGGCAGAATAATATAGCTGATCCTCTTTCCCGCCTGCTTAAGCAAGACAAAGTGACGAGTCATCCACATGGGGCAGAAGAGTACATCCGATTCGCAGCTATCAGTGCCACTCCCCAAGCATTAACCACGAGAGAAGTCGAAGAAGCATCTGCAACAGATGAAGAATTAAAAGTCCTGAGAGAAGCAATCAAAACTGGCAGATTTGAGAAGTGCAAAAACTATGCACCAGCCGCAGGAGAACTGTGTGTGATTGGACAGCTAGTCTTGAGAGGTACCCGTATTGTGTTACCAAACAAACTCAGAGCTCAGGCAATCAGCTTAGCCCATGAAGGACACCTAGGAATTGTGGGAACAAAGCAAAATTTAAGAAGTAAGGTGTGGTGGCCTCGTATGGATAAGGCAGCAGAGAAATTCTGCAAGTCCTGTCACGGATGTCAACTGGTATCTCGCCCAGACCCACCTGAGCCATTGAGATCCACGACATTACCAGAAGGTCCTTGGCAAGACCTAGCTATAGACCTCCTAGGACCACTTCCTTCGGGACACTCAATCATTGTTGTTGTGGACTACTACAGTCGTTATTATGAGTACGCCATCATGATGTCAACCGTCACAGAGAAAGTAATTGACAACCTGGAAGAGATTTTCAGCCGCCATGGCCTTCCTCTGACCATAAAGTCAGACAATGGTCCACAATTCCGCTCCGAAGAATTCCGGGAATATTGTAAGCAGAATGGAATTGTTCACACCAAGACCACACCAAAATGGCCTCAAGCCAACGGGGAGGTAGAGAGACAAAATGCATCGCTGATGAAGAGGATCCGCATTGCCCAAGCCGAAGGATTAGACTGGGTGAAGGAGCTAAGAAGATATGTGACTAAATACCGAGGTATTGATCACGCGACAACCGGTAAGAGCCCTGCGGAATTATTGTTTAACAGAAAGATGAGAGGAAAGCTACCAGAGCTACGTGCCGACCATCACTTGGACCTGGAAACTCGAGATAGAGATGCCGAAGTGAAAGCAAAGACCAAAGTAATAGCTGATAAATCCATGAATGCACGCATTTCTCGAAATGACTCGGCTTTCATATATTTGCATCAGAGTACACAGCTTCAGATAACTATCAAAGTGTTTCATTTTAACCTACTTTCCCGCCGACGACACACTACAGTTCTCAAAAGTACTGATGAATAACCTCGCTCACAAATTTGGTCAGATTAGTTCTCTCCGCAGCAAGCGATCGCTGGTTTCTGAAAAATATATACAGCGTGAGGAGTCCATTAAGTAATGGGCTCCTGACGGCGTTCACAAAGTTGGGTGACCACCAGAAAAAAAATTGGACTGAGAACAACGATAATGAGGTAAAGTCGAGCGTTTTTACGTCCATCGATTTAAGAGTCGTTTTCTCCCACAGAGTTTCTAGTAAAACTATTATCTACCTCAACACTGAATGAGTTATTTGCTTATCCATAGCAAACAAAGAAAACAAAAGAAGTGGGCCCTCTGAATAGAAGTCTCTCAGGTTTAAGCAAATTTTTGAAAATTTGGTGGACAATTCCAAGTTAAAATTTCCCTTTCTTGTGCCTTTCAGTTATACTGATTTATACCCACGAGATGTGTAGCTCGAGTTTGCTAAAACTTTAGGTTTACTGATTTTGTTGTTACCGAAGTACTTGACTGTGTAAGTGAATCTTGGATTACGTAACGAATTTTTGAGTTGGCTCGTTATGTTACCCTGTTGTGGGGGGCGTGACCATTCTTTAGTTATCAAAATCGTTTAATCTTCGCAACGTTTAAGCCAGGTTCTATAGCTGTGCAAATGATTCCTTTGATCTACGGGGTTTTGATAGCTGAAATTGTTGAAGATTATTGTCGGTTTTTTGCCTACTTGGTTTTACAAGGTCTATGAGACACAGAAATTTAAAAATTTTTTCGATAATTTTGACTCGATGTACGATTACGCCGAACTATTTATCGGGAGAGGAATTAAGGAACTGGAGGAGAAGTCCTGCAAACCATCAAAGGAAACAGCGTGACCGAGCGTGACTGAGCGTGACCGAGCGTGACCGAGCTGGCTTCTTCGAGTTCCTCCTGGCCAGCGGAATGCTGACGAAGGATGACCTGTTGGCGAGCGTAATCGATGTTTTGTTTGCTGGAGTTTCAGCTGTTTCAGAAAATCACTGATACTCTGACGCTGGTCACCTTGTGGCTGTATCACCTCTCCACATTCTGGGTTTTCAACAACTGTTCCATTGCAGTTAAATTCCTGCGAAGGCGAAAAAAAGGGAAAATATTGAACACATGGTCCTCGTTGTTTCAAGGGTAGTTACCGCTATCTACTGCACTTTCATGCTACAGCTCGCTTGCTTTCAGAATATGGATGTTTCAGAACACGTCAATGGAACAAGGCATGTTCCTCTTTAGGACTAAGTTAGGTATATTGATCATGACTCTCCCTGTAACACATGAAGGGTTAAACAAGCAAGCCACTTATGCATTAATCCTATTAACATCAATAAAGATAATGGAATTGAAATTCCTGAAGCATGGATGCCTTACTATCAAAAAGCATGATAGCCAATCGGTAAAAAGGGGAATGATATCCAAAACTCAGAATAATAATGAGGATCAAAATGCACCGATGACAGCGCACCATAACCCACCAATAACATCAAATTATGGTGTTACAAATAGCGACACATAACCTTTCAACTTCCTCACCTAACGAAGTAATTAGCAGTCGAAACGTCTCAATTGATTAGCCTAAATCTTACATCTTGGGAAAATGATTAAATTTATATTATCAATAAAAAACAGCACTTTCAATAACACCTTTCACAATAATACTTAAGCAATTATCTGCACTTTCTATCTGTTTACCAGCATAATAACCCACTAATGGGATGTTGAGGTAACACAAGAAAAGGTTATAAATCATGTGCAAGACGCCAATGATTCATTCACTTTTCTCTTGTTCTCCCAACATCCTAATTGGGTTATTTTGCCAGTTAACTGATAGTATTTAAGGTCTCCTATTTTATAAACAGTATGTTTTAATTTTCTATGGGTTACTCGTGCAATAAAGCTGGGTTTATAACCAATCAGGCACTTGTAGGTGCTTCAAAAATATTTATAAACCCAAGCTATTCTCAAATTAATCATAAAAATTATAATTTCTTGATGCTTCTATTGTGATTAGTTTAAAAAATTTCTATTTTCCACTAATTCACCAGCGGTCGTTGACTTTAAAACCATTTTCTTTTGCATATTTCCTCTTCGTTTGTACGGTCTACACGGGTGTAATTTGATCAAGGACTCAGTGAAAAGAAGAAAAAACCGGCCAGATAATTTTATTTTGTTGAATAATCAATGTCCTTAGGCAAAAATTTCGGCCTCTGTATCACCCCCCAGATATTTGGGCAGACGGCAGCACCCAGTAGGAGAGGCTCGCGATTCTCATCACTAGTTCTCCGCGTCTACACTTGGAACGCCTCGGAGGAAAGCGACTCGAGCGTTGTAACAGAAGCTCGAGTAATGAGGTTCTTATCCTTACCCTAAGGAATAATACCAAACAGAAACAGCCCTTAGAGAGATTTACAGGACATTAATGAGGTCCTATTCTGTTCTTTGGTCCTCATCAAAGCTGCTTGACTAATGTGCAGGACATCTGGGAGAGCTTTTGTTTGTGCCATAAAATCACATGGAAACCATCAAATTAAGCAACGGTGGTTCGCTACCCGCTCTTGGCCTTGGGACATGGAAAAGCAAACCAGATAAGGTCACCTCTACCGTAGAAATGGCGATAAAAGCTGGATACAGACACATCGACTGCGCTGCGGTTTATGGTAATGAAAAAGAGGTCGGACAGGCTTTAAAGTCTTGTATCGGAAAAACGGTACGGAAATTTTATGGACTGATTCTCTCTGATTCTCTCTGACCCTCAGTCAGTAAAGTCGAGCGAAAGAGCGGGCTGGGAAAGCGACAAACTTACAAAATATTGCAAAAAAATGTTAAAAGTTTTTGCAGGGCTTTTATCCGGTCTAGATTTGCCTATTTTGTTTACATAACTTCTTTCACCGCAAAAGGACGTGCGTGTGCCTACCAAGGAGCGAGAATATGCATACTGATGTTGAGTACGAAGGGTTAATTAAACCCTCATCATTTCCATTATTCTCATGACCTTAATATTTATATAATATTAATATAAGGGTTAATTAAATCATCAATATTCTCATGACCTTAATATTTATGTAATATTAATATAATATTAATATTAATATAAGGGTTAATTAAACCCTCATCATTTCCATTATTCTCATGACCTTAATATTATTAATATAATAATATAATTTAATATAATATTAATATTAATATAAGGGTTAATTAAACCCTCATCATTTCCATTATTCTCATGACCTTAATATTTGAGTCAGGAGTGAAACTGTAAGGAGAAATTAGATGCTAGTCAGTCTTAGGGGTTAAAGGGTTAAATTGATAAAATTACTGGAGTATTTATGAGAATACAAAGGTTTGCATTATTATACGATTAAGAGTATCTCCTTTTTTCTTTTCTTTAAATATATTTATTTTGGCATGTTAAACCACAATATTTTTGTCAAAAGCCTTGCAAGAAATTTCCAAAAATTTAAGCTCAGAAAACACTTCTTTTCCAAGGTCACACATTTGTTTAAAAGTCTCTTGAATTGACTAACTAATCACCTTTGAAAAAGGATTTAAAATTTTCTTTCCTTGAAGAACTAACCGCGTTCGAAACCTAAAAACTGTCACACTTTGCTTGGCTTGTTCACTGAACTTATGACTTAAAAAAATAAATTGGAGTTTTTTAACTTCGGAACTCTTATAAAGAAATACTCTACACGCTGTCTTGTTTCAAATTAATAAACTTAGATGTCTGATAAGCATTTTACAGAAATGCTTTCCTCTGTGTATCGATCCGAGTTGTCCTTCGCAGATGGCGTCCTCTTTTTACAGGCTTGTAATTAAATAGTTGTGAGCTTTACTAAATCTAGTTCATTCTGCTACAGAGGTTTTATCAAAGTCATGGCTCTTAAGGTGCGCTAGGCACCGGCCAATTTCCAAAATCAAATGTCACGTTGTCGCCCATGATCATAAATGGCGCCCATTGAGAAACTTTGTCAAAGCCGTTATTTCTCATCCACTTCCTGGCCTTGTGGAGAGATTCACTTGCGCTTTCACCGCGGTACAAATGTTTGTAGAAACAAGTCATGAACTGCTCTGTGGCTGTGTCATCCAGGGCCCATCGTGCCGCTAACACTGAACGAGCTCCGGATCCCAAGAACGCTCGGGCAATTCCAATAACTCCCTCGGTTCTAATCTGTCCACGAGCACTGTGACAACAACTAAGCACCACTAGTTTAGCTCGCAATCGAGTTTTTGAAATATCTGCCATCGTCAAAAGATACTCCTCTTCTCGAGGAAAAGGTGGGAGTAGGGTAGGGTGCTCAGGAGAAAGAGCAATCTCCCCTCTTTCGGGATCTCCATGCGCAGCAATGTGTATCAGGCTCACTGAATTTATCGCTTGGAGTACAGAATGCTTTGTAGCGGACTCTCCTATCAAAGGCCTTACGCCAAGAAGTGTTCCAATCATCTCTGCTTCCTTTCTTGCACACGGCAATGGTATCATATTTCTGCACCTTCCCTTGTAAATCACCGTTCCAACCACAGGGTCACCCACTACCAGTGCCCCGGTCTGACTGTGATAGTCTGGAGGACTGTCTTGAACAAGCTTCAGAGTCGTGAGAGAGGGAACCAACCGAATCCTGCATGTCTCTGATAAATACTTGCCTCCTTCGTCAGCCAAGGCTGCAAATGGCACTTGGTACACACAGGAATCAGGGACAATTATGATCTCGGGCTCCTTCAGTAAACTGGCCACGGGAGCAATGATTATGTTGTAACACAAGTGAAGACTTGTTTTGAAATCTTCGGTATCACAGTAATGCAGCCCTGATCGGTTGTTGCGGCGAAGTGACATCAGTTCTTTAAAAAACTCATCTAACTCAGGGACTATTCCGGTCACCTTGTTTGGGTCCAGGTTCACTTTCTTTTCTGAAAAAAGAATAGCTCCCGTTGCTTTTATTATCCAAAACCGTACCTCATCTCCGCCAACCGAAATGTACAGGCATGCACAGTCTGCTTCTTTTCTGATGATCCCTTGAATGCCACACCAAGATTGTGGATCGCTTGAGATCTGCTCTTGAACAGAGTACCGAGCTGTCATCAAGTCGGCCAGGCCTCTTGCCCTTCTCAGCTCTTCGACGTAAAGGGCGTCTTCAGGCTTTCCAGTGGAAGAAAGCAACCTACTGAATAACTTGAAGGGAAAGGTGCCGTACTCTTCTAAAAGAGATATTTGAAACTCATCGTTTTCTTTAAGAAAACCTCTCAAAGTTTCGAACTTTTGGATGCCTTGAAAAAGATACGAAGAAGCCTCTTCAAGATGACCTTGTGACGCCATTAACACCGATAGATTACAAAGGCAGAGAAACTCGTTCAAGTTGTGTCCAATATCCCTACTTAGTAGGAGAGCTTGCTTAAGGTATCCTTCGGCTATGTCATTTTTACCAAGCGATTGGTAACACAATCCTAAATTGTTGTAGCAGACTACTACATTTTCTCTATCACCGATGTCCATGCAAATTGTAAGGGCTTTCTGGAAATATTCTTGAGCCTTGTCATATTCACCACGCTTACAAGAAATTTCACCAAGGCTTGTGTAGTCTGATGCTTCTCCGGTTCTGTCATCGATACCCTTTCTAACTGCCATTGCCTTCTTTAGATAATCGTCAGCCTCTTTATACATGCCAAGTGAGAGAAACAAACATATGAGGTTTCTATAGCTTGCTGCTTCTCCATACCTGTCACCAATTTCTATTCTGATAGCGAGTGCTTTCTCTTGATATTCTCGGGCCTTGTCATATTGACCGAGTGATTGGAACAAAGTTCCTAGGTTTCCGTAGCTTGTTGCTTCTCCATCCCTGTCACCAATTTCTATTCTGATAGCGAGTGCTTTCTCTTGATATTCTCGGGCCTTGTCATATTGACCGAGTGATTGGAACAAAGTTCCTAGGTTTCCGTAGCTTGTTGCTTCTCCATCCCTGTCACCAATTTCTATTCTGATAGCGAGTGCTTTCTCTTGATATTCTCGGGCCTTGTCATATTGACCGAGTGATTGGAACAAAGTTCCTAGGTTTCCGTAGCTTGATGCTTCTCCATCCCTGTCACCAATTTCTATTTTGATAGCGAGTGCTTTCTCTTGATATTCTCGGGCCTTGTCATATTGACCGAGTGATTGGAACAAAGTTCCTAGGTTTCCGTAGCTTGATGCTTCTCCATCCCGGTCACCAATTTCTATTCTGATAGCGAGTGCTTTCTCTTGATATTCTCGGGCCTTGTCATATTGACCGAGTGATTGGAAGCAAGTTCCTAGGTTTCCGTAGCTTGATGCTTCTCCATCCCTGTCACCAATTTCTATTTTGATAGCGAGTGCTTTCTCTTGATATTCTCGGGCCTTGTCATATTGACCGAGTGATTGGAACAAAGTTCCTAGGTTTCCGTAGCTTGTTGCTTCTCCATCCCTGTCACCAATTTCTATTTTGATAGCGAGTGCTTTCTCTTGATATTCTCGGGCCTTGTCATATTGACCGAGTGATTGGAACAAAGTTCCTAGGTTTCCGTAGCTTGTTGCTTCTCCATCCCTGTCACCAATTTCTATTTTGATAGCGAGTGCTTTCTCTTGATATTCTCGGGCCTTGTCATATTGACCGAGTGATTGGAACAAAGTTCCTAGGTTTCCGTAGCTTGTTGCTTCTCCATCCCTGTCACCAATTTCTATTTTGATAGCGAGTGCTTTCTCTTGATATTCTCGGGCCTTGTCATATTGACCGAGTGATTGGAACAAAGTTCCTAGGTTTCCGTAGCTTGTTGCTTCTCCATCCCTGTCACCAATTTCTATTGTGATAGCGAGTGCTTTCTCTTGATATTCTCGGGCCTTGTCATATTGACCGAGTGATTGGAACAAAGTTCCTAGGTTTCCGTAGCTTGTTGCTTCTCCATCCCTGTCACCAATTTCTATTCTGATAGCGAGTGCTTTCTCTTGATATTCTCGGGCCTTGTCATATTGACCGAGTGATTGGAACAAAGTTCCTAGGTTTCCGTAGCTTGTTGCTTCTCCATCCCTGTCACCAATTTCTATTTTGATAGCGAGTGCTTTCTCTTGATATTCTCGGGCCTTGTCATATTGACCGAGTGATTGGAACAAAGTTCCTAGGTTTCCGTAGCTTGTTGCTTCTCCATCCCTGTCACCAATTTCTATTTGATAGCGAGTGCTTTCTCTTGATATTCTCGGGCCTTGTCATATTGACCGAGTGATTGGAACAAAGTTCCTAGGTTTCCGTAGCTTGTTGCTTCTCCATCCCTGTCACCAATTTCTATTCTGATAGCGAGTGCTTTCTCTTGATATTCTCGGGCCTTGTCATATTGACCGAGTGATTGGAACAAAGTTCCTAGGTTTCCGTAGCTTGTTGCTTCTCCATCCCTGTCACCAATTTCTATTTTGATAGCGAGTGCTTTCTCTTGATATTCTCGGGCCTTGTCATATTGACCGAGTGATTGGAACAAAGTTCCTAGGTTTCCGTAGCTTGATGCTTCTCCATCCCTGTCACCAATTTCTATTTTGATAGCGAGTGCTTTCTCTTGATATTCTCGGGCCTTGTCATATTGACCGAGTGATTGGAACAAAGTTCCTAGGTTTCCGTAGCTTGTTGCTTCTCCATCCCTGTCACCAATTTCTATTCTGATAGCGAGTGCTTTCTCTTGATATTCTCGGGCCTTGTCATATTGACCGAGTGATTGGAACAAAGTTCCTAGGTTTCCGTAGCTTCTTGCTTCTCCATCCCTGTCACCAATTTCTATTCTGATAGCGAGTGCTTTCTCTTGATATTCTCGGGCCTTGTCATATTGACCGAGTGATTGGAACAAAGTTCCTAGGTTTCCGTAGCTTGTTGCTTCTCCATCCCTGTCACCAATTTCTATTCTGATAGCGAGTGCTTTCTCTTGATATTCTCGGGCCTTGTCATATTGACCGAGTGATTGGAACAAAGTTCCTAGGTTTCCGTAGCTTGTTGCTTCTCCATCCCTGTCACCAATTTCTATTCTGATAGCGAGTGCTTTCTCTTGATATTCTCGGGCCTTGTCATATTGACCGAGTGATTGGAACAAAGTTCCTAGGTTTCCGTAGCTTATTGCTTCTCCATCCCTGTCACCAATTTCTATTTTGATAGCGAGTGCTTTTTCTTGATATTCTCGGGCCTTGTCATATTGACCGAGTGATTGGAACAAAGTTCCTAGGTTTCCGTAGCTTGATGCTTCTCCATCCCTGTCACCAATTTCTATTGTGATAGCGAGTGCTTTCTCTTGATATTCTCGGGCCTTGTCATATTGACCGAGTGATTGGAACAAAGTTCCTAGGTTTCCGTAGCTTGTTGCTTCTCCATCCCTGTCACCAATTTCTATTCTGATAGCGAGTGCTTTCTCTTGATATTCTCGGGCCTTGTCATATTGACCGAGTGATTGGAACAAAGTTCCTAGGTTTCCGTAGCTTGTTGCTTCTCCATCCCTGTCACCAATTTCTATTGTGATAGCGAGTGCTTTCTCTTGATATTCTCGGGCCTTGTCATATTGACCGAGTGATTGGAACAAAGTTCCTAGGTTTCCGTAGCTTGATGCTTCTCCATGCCTGTCACCAATTTCTATTTTGATAGCGAGTGCTTTCTCTTGATATTCTCGGGCCTTGTCATATTGACCGAGTGATTGGAACAAAGTTCCTAGGTTTCCGTAGCTTGTTGCTTCTCCATCCCTGTCACCAATTTCTATTTTGATAGCGAGTGCTTTCTCTTGATATTCTCGGGCCTTGTCATATTGACCGAGTGATTGGAACAAAGTTCCTAGGTTTCCGTAGCTTGTTGCTTCTCCATCCCTGTCACCAATTTCTATTCTGATAGCGAGTGCTTTCTCTTGATATTCTCGGGCCTTGTCATATTGACCGAGTGATTGGAACAAAGTTCCTAGGTTTCCGTAGCTTGTTGCTTCTCCATCCCTGTCACCAATTTCTATTCTGATAGCGAGTGCTTTCTCTTGATATTCTCGGGCCTTGTCATATTGACCGAGTGATTGGAACAAAGTTCCTAGGTTTCCGTAGCTTGATGCTTCTCCATCCCTGTCACCAATTTCTATTCTGATAGCGAGTGCTTTCTCTTGATATTCTCGGGCCTTGTCATATTGACCGAGTGATTGGAACAAAGTTCCTAGGTTTCCGTAGCTTGTTGCTTCTCCATCCCTGTCACTAATTTCTATTTTGATAGCGAGTGCTTTCTCTTGATATTCTCGGGCCTTGTCATATTGACCGAGTGATTGGAACAAAGTTCCTAGGTTTCCGTAGCTTGTTGCTTCTCCATCCCTGTCACCAATTTCTATTTTGATAGCGAGTGCTTTCTCTTGATATTCTCGGGCCTTGTCATATTGACCGAGTGATTGGAACAAAGTTCCTAGGTTTCCGTAGCTTGTTGCTTCTCCATGCCTGTCACCAATTTCTATTTTGATAGCGAGTGCTTTCTCTTGATATTCTCGGGCCTTGTCATATTGACCGAGTGATTGGAACAAAGTTCCTAGGTTTCCGTAGCTTGTTGCTTCTCCATCCCTGTCACCAATTTCTATTCTGATAGCGAGTGCTTTCTCTTGATATTCTCGGGCCTTGTCATATTGACCGAGTGATTTGAACAAAGTTCCTAGGTTTCCGTAGCTTGTTGCTTCTCCATACCTGTCACCAATTTCTATTCTGATAGCGAGTGCTTTCTCATGATATTCTCGGGCCTTGTCATATTGACTATGCGATTGGAACATTTCTCCGAGCTTTGCGTAACACAGTGCCTGGCCATGTATGTTTCCCATCGTTTTCATGATGTTGATTGCTGATTCGTAAAGTTTCCAGGCCTCCATTAATTTACTTTGTTTCTGAAGTATTTCTGCCAGTTTTAAATGTAGCCATCCTTTTTCAGCGGTGTCATTAGAATCCAGGTATAGGAGGAGTTCCCTCAGGTATTTTTCTGTACTTGTGTAATCCTTTATATAATCGTAAGCACAGATTATTGCCAAGTAGATGTTACGGAATATTAAGTTTGCCGATGAACTATCGATAGCCTGCGCCTGACTGTGTAATATAATCAAACATTCCTTGTATACCTCGATGGCTTGCAACACGCGACCAGTTTTGCGAAGGAACTCGGCGACCACTATACCTATGAAGATAGCTGATATAGCTTCTTCTATGCTGTCCATCTTGACCCTGTTTCTTCTCAGTTTGAAAAAAAAAAAAGGAGAAATTAGTGAAAACTTATACACGGACTGTTTATCTTTAAATTTCAATTTTTATCTTCCCCTCCCTGCCTTGTATTCTTTTTGTGTTCACGCGCGGCGCACGTGATTTCACAGTTAAGTTAGCAAATCACGTCAAAGAACTCTAACCTTGACATTGGAAAACTGAGGTAGACATTTTTCGCATACTTTTATTTTATTTTATTTTAGCCAAATGTTGTGGTTCATTTAACAAGTTTAATACATATTTTCTACGGAGTTTGGACTCTAGCCCCTTGTTCGTAGATCGATATTTTACATTGTCCATCAAAGAGGCCTAGAGGAACACACCTTTGCCGTCTATTCTAGGGAGTTACGACATCACGGGCGACGAGTGGGGAAAGAAGAAAAGACCGAAATACGAGTGGTCAGCGGGGAAACAAATTTAATAATTCGTATAGAGACATATCAGTTATAGTTGCGGAAAACAATAGTGTCGTAATGCCGAAATATCAACAGTATACTTCGCTAAATAAAATGTTAAGCAATTTTTCAAAAGTGTTGATGGCACATATATCTTTTACTGCTGTATTAAACAATAGAGGTATCGGAAAAGGCATTGGTGGCATCCGGAAAGAAACCAAGAAGAATTATATTTACGTTTTGTAACTTGCTGCGTGACGAAAAAAGAAAACCAAAACTGTGGTCCCCAAATGAATTCTCCCACCTTGCCCCAAAAAAATTTCAAATTTTCCGCAACATCACCTGTTCCTATTCGTAGGTCTGGCCAAGCCTTTATGGTCATTGGCTCCCGTGTAGCCCCTAACTATGGCTTATAAATATAGGTGTTTAGTGTTAAATTGTAAAACTCCCCGAAGTCTACGGTAGTTAAACGAAACGCGTCGGAGAATAAAGAAATTTTACAACTACCGTTCGCAGAGTGCTGCTCACCCGTTTAGTTTTAAAATTTTTTTTTAAAAATTCGGTGCGATGGCTGTGGTCAGTTTTTCCATGCAGGTTGTCTGGATATACCTTTCGCAGAGACGTTGGGGGGGGGGGGGGGGGGGGGGGGGGACAGAGACACCAACACAACATTTCATCTGCCGTTCGCTTCGAAAGTTAAGTTTTCATCCCGAGTTCATTCGTTAAATAAAATAGGAAAAAAAACACTTCGAACGGAAAACAGAATTATTTTAACGCCTGGATCTTTTGAAAAAAGGTCTCCTAAACGAGTGGCCCTGATTAAAAATATTTAAGCACGGTAAACACATTAGCCTTAACTTGGCTGTTTCTCGAAGCTCAGTGTTTTCCTAAATGTCTTTTTCACGTGAAATGAGGCGATTGCTTTTAACAAAACCGATTTACTGGGCTCTCAAGAGAGCTCGTGTCGCATCATACTGCTTACTGCTAATTCGAAACTGCCCAGCCCATATCTTAATAGGCTTTAATAATAATCGCATTTCCTTGCAACAAGCTCGCGTTTCTAGATATTAAATCAGAGAGTAGGTTTTCTTTGATCTGCTTCCTAAATATATATTATGACTCACAGGTTTTGCATGTGTTCAGAAAATGTTCTATATAAGCTACCTTTCTGTAAAGTCCTGTATTCTATGGAGTGGTTGTTATAATTGCCCGTACATAATCGATACGAACTTTATTTGATAATCTTGCATTTTGATTGTGAAAATCCTTGAAAAAGTGCATTATTTGTCGACGTTTTTGGAAAAGTGATGTAAGGTATCGAAATATAAACAATGATCTCTTTTCCTTTATATATCTCACTCAATGGAAGAAGCCATAGCTTCTTTTCAAAGAGGGGGGAAGTAGTGAGATTTCTGTAAGCTGTTAATGTTGTTATTCTTATGATAATTTTTTTGAAGCTTTCGTAACGATGCTAGTGTTGTTTGGATTTCTACAACAGTCAGCATTGATGCAAATTGCCTTTTGAAGTTAGAAACGTTCGTTATTCATTTTGATGAGGGTAAAGGGACTTGTATAAGATCTTCCGAAGGAAGTCAACTTTTTACTGGAAAAAAGTAGAAGACCTACATGGTAAAAAGTCAAGAATTTATAAAAATTATATTTTTTGTCTCTTGTCACGCCATCAAGTAAACGGACAGAGTCGGCTTAAAGCCAAGAACCATCGAGGAAATTTATACCAATGTGGCTATGTCTTTCTTCCGGAGTCAGTTATTTCCCACTGAATAGGCGATCGCCCAAATTTCGGACAAAATTTGATGGGGTGTAGTTTGAGGAGGCCAGTTTTGTTCCTTCTCATAGACTACAAATGTAATGATCGTAAAGTAAATGAATATTGTTTCTTTTCGACATAAAAATGATACGTTACGCGTTGCGTTCTTGCAAAGACTTATTTGACGACTCAGGAGAGAAACAATCACTCGATACCAAGATTTTTATACATTCATGATATCTTCCTGAGCCAGCCATTTAAATATTTAGGAAAAGCATTGGAGGTCATGTTTATGGCTGGCGAAAAGTTTCATTTTTCATGCGTTTTTTTCCTTTCGGGGTAAAACGTCATTACTCTTGTGTGCCGTAATATTTTAAATTTTGGATTTTATAGCGTCAAGCGAAAACTAAGGATATCGCCCGGCGCAATCATCCGTTTAGTGTTAGACAAAAATTTAATTTTCAAATCGTTTCCAGTTCTGCTGTATTCGCTGTGAACGGCCTGCACATCACGGGTCAAAAGCCCCAATTCCTCAAAATATTATCTGAGAGTTTAGAAGTTTCTTTTTTTTTTGTTTTTCGTTAAATAACTCTGATCACAGTTCTCATTTTTCCTTCAAGTTGTCAAAAATTGGTAACAACAGCTTTACCTTCTTAGACTATTCAGGAGGGCCGTAACCAAAAGGATCTTCGGTTGTTTGTAAGCAGCTCCCCCAGCAGTAATGATAAAGAAACACCATGGTTTGCTCCTAAATCATTGTCACATTATGATAAAAACTCCTCTCCGCCCTCTTCCCCATTAAAAAAATTTACCCCCTCCCCCCTTAATTATCCACTACTACTGGAAAGTTTCGATAAGATTCAGGAAAAGAATCTGTGGAAAAAACTTGATCTATTCAGGAAAAAGGCTTTTCAATAATTTCATAATTATTTCCAAATTCTTGAAAAGCCACAAGCTACGGAAACCTAAGAACTTTGTTCCGATCAGTTGGTCAATATGACAAGGCCCGAGAATATCAGGATAAAACACTCGCTATCAGAATAGAAATTGGCGACAGGGATGGAGAAGCAACAAGCTATGGAAACCTAGGAACTTTGTTCCATTCACTTGGTCATATGACAAGGCCCGAGAATATCATGAGAAATAGAATTTTCAACTTTTGATAATTCGGCTAATCGTCCGGTTCACTACTTTTCAAGTTTAAATCGTTTGCCCGAATAAAGAGAATGATGACCGATGTTGTACATTTTTAGGAAAATTCCTCTTGTTGTGGTGGTTCAGGTTCATTATTCACCTTTCCCTCCCCTCCCTAAAAGAGGTATCATTTGTCAATCATTACCTACATGGAGCCAAGCGAGATCCTCTCGATCATGACATCACGTGATTTTTACAATATTTCCGTCTTATTTAGATTAACACCCTTAAGAGGTAAACGGAGAGAGCAATGTGTTGTCTTTTTAGGGTACAACACTTATCAACCCAGCCGTTCCTCTTACTTACCAACTTTGTCTTCGATGACGCAAATAGCACTTATTGGAAAATGAACAGCTCGTGAAGAGATAGTCATCAAGCACAAAAGCTTGCCGTTTCAAGACAGAAGCTCCAATTCAGCACTGTAACAAGTCTTGATTGTAATTTTGGGTTAAAAATCCAACGACTCTTTCAAAACTATGTATACCGAGACCGGATGTTACATGTAACCAAAGTGAATTGTTTCATTTTTGCATGCTTACATCCGTCATCGGTAAAAAAGTTAGACGTACAAAATCGAAATATATTTACGTACATTAGATGGCGCTTCATAAGTAGGATAACAAATATAACACATATTTTTCACGTAACGGTTGGAATTCTGCTCGAGGTTGGTGCGTTAGTAGATGGCCCTTTGGCTAACTCATAGGATGTCGGAATTTAATCTTCAGAGAAGGTAGCTTGAAAGAAATCATCATGTCCAGTGTCGGTTAAAATACCAGTTAATTCGTCGAATTTAGTCAATGTTTGGTAGGTCTAGGTGGGGTTAAAAACGTTAAACCGACTTTGCCGTTTATGAATTTCTTTCAATTTTTATCGCAAATATCAGAATTCTCTTCCGCCAAGTCATTTATCACATCACTCATATCAGGACGAGGTTTGAAGCAGTTTTAAAAACTGATGCTCCAAGCGGGGTGTTCGTTACACTGTCACGCGAATCACGCAAATCAGAAACCAACTGGAAAATTTAACCAGCTAACAGAACACAACAAGTTTCATTTGACCTGCTGATTCATATTTACTTTACAGTAATTCAATTCAATTATGTAAGAAGATGCAATGCTCTTAACAAAACCGATTTACTGGGCTCTCAAGGGAACCTGTGTTGCATCATACTGCTTACTGCTAATTCGAAACTGCCCAGCCAATATCTTAGTAATAATCGCATTTCCTTGCAACAAGTTCGCGTTTCTAAAAATTAAATAAGAAAGTAAGTTTTGTCATAATTGTCCGTGCATAATCGATATGCACTTTATTTGATGATCTTGCACTTTGATTGTGCAAATCCTTGAAAAAAGTGCAGTATTTGTCGATGCTTCTGGAAAAGTATTATAAAGTATCGAAATATAAACAATAATATTTTTTCCTTTATATATCTCATTCAATGGAAGAAGCCATAGCTTCTTTTCAAGGGGGGAATGATATTTCTACATGCTGTTAATGTTGTTATTCTTATGATCATTTTTTTGAAGCTTTCATAACGATACTAGTGTTGTTTAGATTTCTAAAACAGTCAGCATTGATGCAAATTGCCTTTTGAAGT